TGAAATCTGGGGCGTATGCATTGCAGTGATTGATTTCTGAAGCTCAGTCAGTATAGATTATCATAGAATCATCATAGAATACTAGGACTGGAAGGGACCTCGAGAGGTCAACAAGTCCAGTCCCCTGCCCTCATGGCAGGACCCAGTACTGTCTAGACAATCCCCAATAGACATTTATCTAACCTGCTCTTAAATATCTCCAGAGATGGAGATTCCACAACCTCCCTAGGTAATTTATTCCAGGGTTTAACCACCCTGACAGTTAGGAACTTTATCCTAACGTCCAGCCTAAACCTCCCTTGCTGCAGTTTAAGCCCATTGCTTCTTGTTCTATCCTCAGAGGCCAGGAAGAACAAGTTTTCTCCCTCCTCCTTGTGACACCCTTTTAGATACCTGAAAACCGCTATCATGTCCCGTCTCAGTCTTCTCTTTTCCAAACTAAACAAGCCCAATTCTTTCAGTCTTCCTTCTTAGGTTATGTTCTCTAGACTTTTAATCATTCTTATTGCTCTTCTCAGGACCTTCTCCTATTTCTCCACATCTTTCTTCAAATGCGGTGCCCAGAACTGGACACAATACTCCAACTGAGGCCTAATCAGTGCAGAGTAGAGTGGAAGAATGACTTTTCGTGTCTTGCTCACAACACACCTGTTAATACATCCTAGAATCATGTTTGCTTTTTTTGCAACAACGTCACACTGTTGACTCATATTTTGCTTGTGGTCCACTATAACCCCTAGATCCCTTTCTGCCGTACTCCTTCCTAATCTATCTGAGAGAAGATTAAATGGTGACTTGATCAACATCTAGAAGGCCTCCATTTTGAAGATATTCAGGCATTGTGGCATTCAGTGTAGCCAGACCTACATGATTAGATGGTGAGTCCCATTTTCATAAGTGACTTAGGTGCTTTTTCTTATTGAAAGTCAATGGGATTTAGTCTTCTAAATACCTTTGAGCATTTGAGTGTGAGGAATCAATCTCGTATTGAAATCCATTGGCGTGAAGCAGCTAAATGCCTTTAAAGATCTGTCCCCATATCACTTTTGAAATTAGGATTTAGCCATCTAAATCTATGTCTTACAGTGCTGAGCAGAGCGATGGCTAAATGCCTTAAAAAAGCTAAATATCTACACTGGGAGATTGCTGATTGGTCACGTCTTCACTATGCGGAAGATCAGCACTGTCATGGTTGATCTTCTGGGGTTCAATTAGCAGGTCCAGTGAAGACCCACTAAGTTGAACTCAGAGGGTGCCCCCATCAGCACCAGTACTCTTGCTCCTCACGTAAAATAAGGGAAGCCGATGGGAGCGTTTGGTCCCGTCAACCTCCCTCCGTGTGGACAGCGCACAAACTCAATTTAAGATATGTCGTCTCCTGCTACGTAATGTCATAGTTGGAGTTGCATATCTTAATTTGACCTTCTGCTGTAGCGTAGACTAGGTCCTTGGGAGTAATCTTTTTGTCTAGCAAATGAAGGTATAATAAGATCCATTGAGTGGTTGGAAGTTGAAACTAGACAAACTCAGTTTGGGAATAAGGTTTCTGTTTCTAACAGTGCAACACTTTACCCGGGAAGGGGGTAGATTCTCCATCACTAAAAGCTATCTACCTATACCAGAATGTGCTTCATGCAGGAATTATCAGGGGGAGGTTCTTTGGTTTATGCTATGCAGGAGATTGGATTAGATGAATGTAATGGTCCCTTCTGGCCTTAGTATTTATGAATCATTATGGACTATTCTCAGGTTTACCACCTCGCCAATATTTGACTGGCCTATTTCATTTTTTTTTTTATGGATTTGTCAGTTGCCAGAAAAGCTATTTAATCTGCCGAGGGATTTTTAACATGGGCCTAAGGATTTGCATTATTACCACGACACATTGGGATATTAAACACTAAATGTTTCTGTGCCCAGCTAAAGGTGCTGCATTGTTCCCACTTCTGCAGTTTAAGTGATAACAGAGTCACGGGAGAATGGGGAGAAGTGCGGTGTTACCAATCTTATCTATGTGTGTTATCTCTTGAGATTCTGTAAATGGCTGTTCACGGTGGGGAGAAGTTGCAGAGTTCTCTTGTGACTCTGGGTTGTGGTTGTGGTGGGCTTGTCTTGTGCAGGGAAGGGGCTGGAATTTTTTTTTCGTTTCAAAGGCGGTAACCCTGTTTCAGCCGGGGACTGTTCCACACATGATCGGTGCCTTGCCCTTACGTCCAGAGAGGAAAATATCTTCGGCCTAGACCATCAAAACAGTATTGAGGCTTCTACATCCCTTGTAATCAGTGGGAGCTAGGATAGGGTTGCCAGCTTTCTACTTGCACAAAACCGAACAGCCCTCCTCTGAGGCCTGCCCCATTCAGAGGCCCTTTTCCCACTCAGTCCATCCCCCCTTACCTCCGTTGCTCATTCTCTCCACCCTCACTCACTTGCTCATGTTCACGGGGCTTGGTCAGAGGACTAGGGTGCCAGGAATGTGAAGGTTCTGGCTGGGGGTACAGATTCTGGGCTGGCTCTAGGGATGAAGAATTCGGGGTGTAGGAGGCTGCTCCGGGCTGGGATCAAGGATTTGGAGGGTGAGAGGGGGATTAGAACATAAGAACATAAGAACGGCCATACTGGATCAGACCAAAGGTCCATCTAGCCCAGTAGCCTGTCTGCCGACAGTGGCCAGCACCAGGTACCCCAGAAAGGGTGGACCAAAGACAACGATCAAGCGATTTGTCTCCTGCCATCCCTCTCCAGCCTCTGACAAACAGAGGCCAAGGACACCATTTTATCCCCTGGCTAATAGCCTTTTATGGACCTAACCTCCATGAAATTATCTAGCTTCTCTTTAAACTCTATTATAGTCCTAGCCTTCACAGCCTCCTCTGGCAAGGAGTTCCACAGGTTGACTACACGCTGTGTGAAGAAGAACTTTCTTTTATTAGTTTTAAACCTGCTACCCATTCATTTCATTTGGTGTCCTCTAGTTCTTCTATTATGGGAACTAATAAATAACTTTTCTTTATCAGCCCTCTCCACACCACTCATGATTTTATAGACCTCTATCATATCCCCCCTCAGTCTCCTCTTTTCTAAACTGAAAAGTCCCAGTCGCTTTAACCTCTCCTCATATGGGACCCGTTCCAAACCCCTAATCATTTTAGTTGCCCTTTTCTGAACCCTTTCCAAGGCCAAAATATCTTTTTTGAGGTGAGGAGACCACATCTGTACACAGTATTCAAGATGTGGGCGTACCATAGTTTTATACAGGGGCAGTAAGATATTCTGTCTTATTTTCTGTCCCTTTCCTAATAATTCCTAGCATCCTATTTGCCTTTTTGACCGCCGCTGCACTCTGTGTGGAAGTTTTCAGAGAACTGTCCATGATAACTCCAAGATCTCTTTCCTGATTTGTCGTAGCCAAATTAGCCCCCATCATACTGTACGTATAGTTGGGGTTATTTTTCCCGATGTGCATTACTTTACACTTATCCACATTAAATTTCATTTGCCATTTTGTTGCCCAATCACTCAGTTTGGTGAGATCTTTTTGGAGTCCCTCACAGTCTGCTTCTGTCTTGACTATCCTAAACAGTTTGGTATCATCTGCAAACTTTACTACCTCACTGCTTACCCCTTTCTCCAGATCATTTATGAATAAGTTGAAAAGGATTGGTCCCAGGACTGACCCTTGGGGTACACCACTAGTTACCCCTCTCCAATCTGAAAATTTACCATTTATTCCTACCCTTTGTTTCCTGTCTTTTAACCAGTTCTCAATCCAAGAAAGGACCTTCCCTCTTATCCCCTGGCCATGTAATTTACACAAGAGCCTTTGGTGAGGGACCTTGTCAAAGGCTTTCTGAAAATCCAAGTATACTATATCTACTGGATCCCCCTTGTCCGCATGTTTGTTAACCCCTTCAAAGAACTCTAAGGGTATGTCTACACTACCACCCTAGTTCGAACTAGGGTGGTTAATGTAGGCAATCGGAGTTTCAAATGAAGCCCGTGCTTTGAATTTCCCGGGCTTCATTTGCATGTTGCCGGGCGCCGCCATTTTTAAATGTCCGCAAGTTCAGACTCCGTGCCCGCGGCTACACGCAGCGCGAACTAGGTAGTTCGGATTAGGCTTCCTATTCCGAACTACCGTTACTCCTCGTGAGCTACAGAGCAGGCGGTTAGGGTGGGGACAGTATGTGGAGTCCCCAGGCTGCCCTTATGCATAGGAGCCAGAAGGGGGGACGTGCTTCTGCTTCTGGGAGCTGCACAGAGCCAAAGCCGAGAGCCTGCCAGCCGTGTTGCGCCACTGACTGAATTTTTGATGGGCTGATCAGTGGTGCTGACTGGACCACCAGGGTCCCTTTTCAACTGGGCATTCCAGTCAAACACCAGGCACCAGGCAACCCTAACTAGGTGCCTAAATACATCTAGGGATCTGGGCTTTAGTGCTCTCCTATCCCCTGCACACTCCAATGGCAAGGGCCTACCCTCGCTTTCCACATAGTCCATAAACAAACTCCCACTGAGGTGACTGGACCGAATCCTGAGAGTTTGCTCACCTCCTCGGGGAGGTGTTGATAGTTTCATGACCTCTCAGCTCTTACCCCAGAGACTTGCTTGTCTGAGGGAAAAACTGACGAAAGCCCTCAGGACTTGGCCCATTGTGTGCCCAGATAACTATGTTAGAGCAGAAGGCCAGGTTCTCAGTTGGAGTAAATTGATGCAGCTCCATTGACACTGCTTAATTGCGTTCAGTTTCTGCCCTCAGAAAATCTGGCTCCATTATCCCCGTTCCTGTATCATAGTGATGCCTCTGGTACAAAACTATTGCAGTCAGTACCAAATAATTCCACCTGATCTGGCCGACATGAAAGTGCAACACTCCTTTAGAATAATGGACGGTATGTTTATGACTGGGAGAGGGAGGTGACTATAAAGCACTACAGCAAAAAGCAAGGGAATTGGATTTGATTTCAAACTCTTTCTCTAATTTCTCTCTTTCTCTTCTACAGGATGCCCTGGGATGTGGGATAATATTACATGCTGGAAGTCGGCGAACGTGGGTGAAATCGTCTTTGTCAAGTGTCCCGCTTTGTTCAGAATTATTAGCTCTGAGGACGGTAAAGTACCCTTCTCCTGTCTTCTTTTGTCCCATGTGGTTGCTAGATTCAGCAGCCTCTTGCTGCTTGCATTCATGCTCATCATACGGCCAGGCAGTTGGTGCTATTAAAGGGGGTCAGAAGCTCCGGGGTGAATTGGGACTGCTTGAGACATAGTGTGTAAACAGTACGTCAGGCTGGGTTCGGGGTGGGTGGGAGTGGCTATGTGTAGGAAAACATCACAGGATCACTACCCTATGGCGAATCGAAAAATAAAAAGCGGTGCCTTAGATACCCACTGAAGTGAACGGGAATTGTGGTGGCTGTCTGAGTGCTTTGGATTTTTAATACAACTTCAAAGAGAAAGAGAGCCAGGTCCTGACATCAAAACTCAGGGTCAGATTCTGGTTGGCCTCATGGTGGGGAGGGGACGCAGGATGAAAGGCACTTGTGAGATCTTGTGTGGCCCATGTAAAGGTCAGGACAAATTCTGGGCCCTTTATTCACCTGAGGGCAGGGTGCCTCTATTTATGTTCCCTATAAGGGGTGGAAATGGGTCGGACCATCGACCTACCACACCATACATCTGTAGCCTGATGTAAGGCTGGCAAATGTTATTAATTTGGATAGTTTGGGTTGTGGGCTGTCCAACTGAACTAATCAGAAGATAGCAAGTTTCTTGTCCCAGAATCAGGCTTCACAGATTATACCAAGGACCTTTGGGGGAGGGGGGTCTGACAAGATGTTCACACTGAGACAAAATAATTTTAAAACTTATTAAAATATATGGAATCAAAATCAAATAGCAATTAAAGCAGTAAAATAAGTCAGAGTTACAAGTACAGTGTTATTAGTCTAAGGTATGTATGGGATTATTTCTGTAAATGGGAGTTAATATACTCACACCTGTTCTTGATAACTTGGTGACAAGAGACAAAGGAGGAGCCTTGCCTTTGGTATGCAATGACACCTTAGGTCCAGATTTCTCTGTCCTTCAATACTAAGTGCTTATTGAAGCTAACTTAATTTATTTAACTAACTGACCTAAATCTAGAATAAACAAGGAGGCTGTGTCTACACTGGCATGAATTTCCGGAAATGCTTAAAACGGAATACTATTCCGTTTTCAGTTTTTCCGGAAAAGGAGCGTCTATATTGGCAGGCTGCTTTTCCGGAAAAGCCCTTTTTCCGGAAAAGCATCTGTGGCCAATGTAGACGCGCTTTTCCGGAAAAGACTACTGGGCTGTCTACACTGGCCCTTTTCCGGAACAGTGTTCCGGAATAAGGACTTATGCCCGAGCGGGAGCAGAATAGTTTTTCCGGAATAGCGGCTGATTTTGTACAGTAGAGCATCGTTGCTTTTCCGGAAATTCAAGGGCCAGTGTAGACAGCTCGCAGCTTATTCCGGAAAAGCGGCTGATTTTCCGGAATAAGTGGCCCAGTGTAGACACAGCCCTCGAGTATTAGAAAAACCAAGTTTAAATAACATTTAACATTCCTGTGGTGGGAAGAACACCTCAGCAGTCCAGCACTCTGGCATTTAATTTCAAAAAGGGGAATTACACAAAAAGGAGGAGGTTAGTTAAACAGAAATTGAAAGGCACAATGACTAGAGCCAAATCCCTGAAAGCTGCATGGAAACTTTTTAAAGACACCATAATAGAGGCCCAACTTAAATGTATATCCCAAATTAAAAAAAATAGCAAGAGACCTAAAAAAGAGTCACTTTGGCTTAACCACCATGTAAAATAAGCAGTGAGGGACAAAAAGGCATCTTTTAAGAAGTAGAAGTCCAATCCTAATGAGATAAATAGAAAGGAACATTTTTTAATTAATGGAGATTGCCTATCTCCTACAGCTAGGAGGGATGTTGAAAGATCATCAAGTCCAATCCCCTGCCTTCACAGCAGGCTCAAGTACCATCCCTGGCAAATTTTTGCTCCAAATGGCCTCCATAAAGATTGAACTCACAACCCGGGGTTTAAGGAGGGATGTTGAAAGATCATCAAGTCCAATCCCCTGCCTTCACAGCAGGCTCAAGTACCATCCCTGGCAAATTTTTGCTCCAAATGGCCTCCATAAAGATTGAACTCACAACCCGGGGTTTAGTGGGCTAATGCTCAAACCACTTATCTATCCCTCTCCCCTAACATAAATGCTGTCAAATCAAGTGTAAAAATGTAATAAGAAAAGAAAAAAAAGATTTGAGGAACAGCTAGCCAAAAACTCAAAAAGAAATAACAAAATGTTTTTAAGTACATTAGAAGCAAGAAAGCCTGCTAAAAAACCTGTGGGTCCCCTAGATGATCGAGATATAAAAGGAGCAATCAAGGACGATAAAGCCATTGTGGAGAAACTAAATGGTTTCTTTGCTTCAGTCTTCACGGCTGAGGACGTTAGGAAGATTCCCAAATCTGCACCATCCTTTTAACAAATCTCCGGGACCAGATGGCATTCATCCAAGGGTTCTAAAAGAACTTAAATGGGAAATTGCTGAGCTATTATCTGTGGTTTGTAACCTATCCTTTAAATCGGCTTCCGTACCTAATGACTAGAAGGTAACCAACGTGACACCAATATTTAAAAAGGGCTCTAGAGGAGATCCTGGCAACTACAAGGCCAGTAAATCTAACTTCAGTACTAGGCAAATTAGTCGAAACAATAGTAAAGAATAAAATTGTGAGGCGTGTAGAAGAACATAATTTGTTGGACAAAAGTCAACATGGTTTCTGTAAAAGGAAGTCATGTCTTACTAATCTATTAGAGTTCTTTGAAGGGGTTAACAAACATGCAGACAAGGGGGATCCAGTAGATATAGTATACTTAGATTTTCAGAAAGCCTTTGACAAGGTCCCTCACCAAAGGCTCTTGTGTAAATTAAATGGCCATGGGATAAGAGGGAAGGTCCGGTATCTAGTGGACTCCCCCAAGGGTCAGTCCTGGGACCAATCCTTTTCAATTTATTCATAAATGATCTGGAGAAAGGGGTAAGCAGTGAGGTGGTAAAGTTTGTGGGTGATATCAAACTGTTTACGATAGTCAAGACAGAAGCTGACTGTGAGGGACTCAAAGAAGATCTCACCAAAGTGAGTGATTGGGTAACAAAATGGCAAATGAAATTTAATGTGGATAAGTGTAAAGTAATGCACATCGGGAAAAATAACCCCAACTATACGTACAGTATGATGGGGCTAATATAGCTATGACAAATCAGGAAAGAGATCTTGGAGTTATTGTGGACAGTTCTCTGAAAACTTCCACACAGTGTGCAGCGGTGGTCATAAAGGCAAAAAGAATGCTGGGAATTATTAAGAAAGGGATAGAAAATAAGACCCAGAATATTTTACTGCACCTGTATAAAACTACGGTATGCCCACATCTTGAATACTGTGTATAGATGTGGTCTCCCCACCTCAAAAAAAGATATTTTGGCCTTGGAAAGGGTTCAAAAAAGGGCAACTAAAATGATTGGGGGTTTGGAATGGGTCCCATACGAAGAGAGGTTAAAGCGACTGGGACTTTCAGTTTAGAAAGGAGGAGACTGAGGGGGGATATGATAGAGGTATATAAAGTCATGAGTGGTGTGAAGAGGGCGGATAAAGAAAAGTTATTTATTTATTTATATTTATTAGTTCCCATAATAGAAGAACTAGAGGATTCCAAATGAAGTTAATGGGTAGCAGGTTTAAAACTAATAAAAGAGAGTTCTTCTTCACACAGCGTGTAGTCAACCTGTGGAACTCCTTGCTAGAGGAGGCTGTGAAGGCTAGGACTATAACAGAGTTTAAAGAGAAGCTAATTTCATGGAGGCTATTAGCCAGGGGATAGAAATGGTGTCCCTGTCCTCTGTTTGTCAGAGGCTGGAAAGGGATGGCAAGAGACAAATCGCTTGATCATTTTCTTCAGTCCCCCCTCTCTGGGGCACCTGGTGCTGGCCACTGTCAGCAGACAGGCTACTGGGCTAGTTGGACCTTTGGTCTGACCCAGTACGGCCGTTCTTATGTTCTTATGTTCTTATGTTCTAAAGACAAAGTTTAGGGACTAATTCTTACTCCTTCTGCTCTTCTTTCTTTCTTTCTTTCTTTCTTTCTTTCTTTCTTTCTTTCTTTCTTTCTTTCTTTCTTTCTTTCTTTCTCTTCTCCTGTGGCAGCTTATCTTCCTCTTATCTTATTCTCTCTTATTGCAGAAAGCTTCGGGTATCCTGTTTTTGAAGCATACGGGCTTGGATCCACCTTCTATGTCCTAATTTTAACTTTTGAGCCCACAAATTATTAGGGTACACTTACTCCATAAAATGAACACATGTAACATGTTTGTACATATTGATGACTGGTATATACATATTCATGATATTACATCATTCTCACCTACGTTATTTCTGTGATATTTTTTGGTCTTATTGTGCCATGCTTGTTAAATTTGTGGGTATTCTTGGAAGTCCCCATGAAAAGTCCCTCTATATTATCACCAGCTATTCAGGTGAAAGGTCTTGAACATATGCAAGTCATCTTTGCTCTCTGAGTGAAAGGTCCCAGACAAAAACACTAACTTTGCCTTCAGAATACAGCCTATAGGTCTCTTGTGTTACAGCCACATTACTTTAATATAAACCTATAAACCTTCTAAAACAAAACAATTAATTAAGTCATAAGAAAATATATAGCTAGCTATAGAGGCAAACAAGCAGGTTAGGCCTATAGGCTACACATCTGTCATGTAGCTGGCGGGCTGGGTAGTGGACGAATGTAGGGTAGCAGTAGTAGTGAGTATGCAGCCTGAGATATTTAGGAGGCTAATTGCTCTGGGCGTTCCCTCTGGGACAGTACAGCTGTACGTGATTTTCAGTGCAGGATTGTGCCTAATTATCCCAGTAAAGTCTTCACTGCATCCGCATGCAAAACTCCCCATGAAATCAATGGGCATTTTGCCTGAGTAAAATCTTCAGTACTTGAGCAAGTTAAAATTAATTCTTAAACTACTGATTCTGATTTGGGACATTAAGACATGGGAAGTGAGCTTCC